CCTGAAAGATAAGGCACGAGAAAGAGAGAAGAATAATTTTATTTATCGTGCCATGATCATACCAACATACGAATTATACGTTTAAAAATATTAAACGCTATAAAGTTACTTTGATTTTAATTTTATGCGATATTAAATGTATTACAAGTTTTCTCGCATTCTCTCGTTTTTCCTATATTTTCGTGCATAATTTATAGGTCAAGTTTTCGTATCGATGATATCTTCTCTCTCGTAATAATAAAAACTTATTTACTTTCTTATTTATTGTGCTCTGTGGTGTTTTGATTTGATTTAAAACTTTTATCAATAGTTTATTGTAACATAAAGAAGAGCTTCTTCAATTTAAACAAAACATTCTTTACATGTCAGATACTTTAGAAGATAACCATAATGGTATGGTAACCTCTATAACATTTTTTTTATTAAAAATAATAAATAATCAGTTAACAATTGAATATTTATTTTATGTTGTGCATAACATAACAGTATAAAATATAAACATAGTCAAGTTTTTCACTGATAAGGAAATGATCAACGTTCAACAGTGTTTTTGAATCAATGGAACTTGTCTAAACTCTAAAATAAACTATTTTATAAGTCAGCAAATGTTCGTTCAATCAATCCTTCTTAACCTAAACTAAACCTTTATAATTATATAAAGCATAAACTTAAAATAATTTATTATTTCATAAAAATATTCAATTTGCTACACTTTTTATTTTTGCAAAATAGCTTCTGAACGCCTGATGATGAATTAATTGCTAGCTTTTCAATGAATCAGTTAACAATTAACATTGAAAACCAGTAAAGCCTTTTTAAAAGAATTAGTTATAAATAAACTATAATATTACAATTAATAATAATTAAAAATTTAAATAGACTCAATATATATTTTAACATTTTTTCAATTCAAATTTTAAAATATGGCAACTTGCAACTTCCTTGTTGATTTGCATGATAAAATAATAAAATGAAATACAAAAAAGTTTTTTTAGTCCTTTTTTTAATGCCTACAAAATGAAATTATGTTCTTTTTAAAAAACTGAATCCTTTTTCTTATGAAAAGGATTCAGTTTTTTAAATGAAATGAAATGTTTTTTTTGAAAAATACAAAAAAAAAAAAAGTTTTTTTAGTTCTTTTTTAATACCTACAAAATGAAATTATGTTCTTTTTAAAAAACTGAATCCTTTTCCTTAAAATGGATTCTTTGACTTTAATTTAAAATTAAATGTTTTTTGTTTTTCAAACTATGGTAATGCAAATGCCTTGTTGAGTTGAGAGAAAATGAAACGTTTACATTGGCTAATAGTCTACAAAATCTTTTTTTTAAATGGTTCTTTTATTTTGATTTGTAGGATGATGAGACATTTATATAAAAAATTTGTAACTAAAGTAACTAACTGCAGTAACTAAAGACATAAAAAAGAACTAAAAAGACTGAATGTCTTTAGTTACTGCAGACACGGCGACCGGTTCTAAAAATTGTTAATATGCTAAAATTTAAATATATTTTTTCAAATCTGTTTACCTTATATATACTGATAAATTCATTTTAGTTTAATATGCAAAGTGTTAGTTTTCAAGTATTTATTTTGTTTCTAAATTATACTCTGTAATTTTTTTACGAAAAATTGACTCATTCAACATACAGTTGGACCTCCGCACCACAAACTTGATGGTTCAAGAAAGTAAATTCTCTATAAAGAAATTTTGTTATATAGAATTTGTTCATGAAAAAATTCTATTATGGTTAAAAGGTGTTTATGTACTATATATTTATAGAAAAAACTTTTGACCATTTATTTTTATAACAGAAAGTAATAGTATGTAGTATAATGGCAAACGAAAAATAACAATATTATATGTATGTACTTACATTATATATATAAAGCTAAAATCCTAATACTTTTTAATAAGTATATACTTTTTTTCTAAATTATACTATGTAATTTTTTATCAGTGATTTTGTTGCTGGAGATATTCATCGCTTTTTTCAAATTCAAGTTAATTAAGCATCCCTGTTCATTTTATTTTTTTTTGTTTTTAATTAGGATCAGGCTTGACTTTTTTCCAAATTCTTTATTAGAATTAGGTCATATTGGTTTATTGTTAATTTTATAGAGGATAAATGAAATCCTTTATTATAGTATGATCAATACACACAAGGCACTGCAGAGCATAGTACAGACAGCTGGTAAATTATTTTAGTATATATTTGTTGGTACACTGATTGCTCTGGGCTGCTAACCTAATAAAACACTACTAGCACTACTTTTTGTTATGGTTATATCTATAAGTCAGTACACTGATTGCTCAAGGCTGTTAATCTAAAAAACACTACTAGCACCATTTGTATGGTTAGGGGCCGTCCATAAAGAATGTCACGCTTCAAGGGGGGTCCAATTATTTGTGACACTTTGTGAATGAATATTAAAGTTTTCAAGCGAGCAAATAGCTCATGAATATTAATTAAAGGAGTAGTCATATTTAAATGTCATTGTTAAAGTTTACCACTGTGTAGGTGCTTATATTAGCAGGGGCGTCTATCCCCCCTAAATGTTGGAGACAAAATCCCCCTCCCCATGTTCGTCCGGCTCTATTTTATAATGTGTACTAAAAATGTGAACACACACACAACACAACTCTTTAATGTTCAACAATGTTTTTTCTGATAAGATAACAAAAACTTCTCTTATAAAGTTGAGTAAGTAAAATGAAAAAAAGAACAATTTTAAACAATGAAAATAAAAAAAATGCGATATATACAAATAAAACTTCTGTCGAAATTTAATTAATATTTAATTATACAACAGTTGAGACTTTAAAGACAGGCTTGACAATGCAATTTTCGTTATTATTTGATCATCAGTGAATGTTTGAAGAATATCTTTCTCTGCTGCTATTATCATTAATGCTGATAAATAATCATTTGCCATGGTAGACCTTAGGCGGTTCTTTATAATTTTCAGCTTACTTAAAGCTCTTTCTGCAGAGGTACTTGATAAAGCAAGAGAAGCAAATATTCTGTATAGCATCAGCAAATTGCGGTAACCAGATAGTTGATGAAGAACATTAAGTGGTTTTATGAAACTGCAATTTTTCCAATTATTAGTATTATTCTTTTGGGCTTCTTTATATGCCATATTGTTATTGTCATCTTCTTCATCTGATTTATCAGAAAATATTTCCATGCCAGAGTCATAACCTGAACCTGCAGACAGGTTTTCCATTTTTTCGTCATTTTTTAGCAACGTGTATGCATTTTTAAATTCGTTCAGTTCATTTGCAACATCTTCTGCGTTGACACTATACTGGTTACAAACAGTTTCTATTTCACTAGCCTTAACACAACGGTTGCTTAAAAGTGTTTTGGGAGTAAATAGCGAAAGTTCTTTTAAAAAAACCAAATTTTGCTGCTCAAATCTACTTTTCATTTGTTGATTCACCTCATCTAAAACAATTAAAAAGCATTCATTTTTCATTTTATTTATTCCAACTGAACATTCGTCCCTGCAACGTTCATCAAACATTTTTTTTTCGTACGACGTCTTTCAAAATCAAAATCTGGGCTGATGCCATGTGCTGTTGCGAATGATTTCGATTCACTGCATATTGTTTTCCACGTCAAATCAGCATTTCTTCTTATGATGTCAAACTGATGAATGCAGTCTTTTATCAGTTCTGTTGCAGACGCCATGTCAATTGATATACCCTGCACTGCTCTGGATACAGGACCAATAATATTATAAACCAATTTTAAAATTTTCATGCTTGTTTTCACACGGATGTTTTTCATTCTTTTACGAAGTCTAAGTGCAGCAGTAACTGTTTCACTGTCACTCAATGATGATTCAGCCAACTCGGATAAACTTGCTAATATTTCTGAATATCTTTTCATTACCGTTTCTACGGCTTATTCTGTGCTGCTCCAGCGAGTGGTTTGAACCCGCTTTAATTGCATTTTATGCTGACAATTACTTTGAGAATTTTGGATTTCTGCGATGATCATTCATGAATGAATATAAATCTTCTAGCGGTCCTAGCGTATTTTTTATTTCATTACAGCATTTCATAACGCCATTCATCACTAAATTTAACCTGTGTGCATTGCACCAAATATAAATTGCTTTTATACACTCCTTTTGAATAAGAGTAGCCAATCCAGCATACCGACCTCGCATGTTACCTGCACCATCATAGCATTGACCTATCACCCATGACATATTAAAATTCAATTTAGTCAGAATATCAATAACTTCTCCTTTGAGTATCTTGCCCGATGTTTCTCCACAAGTAAAGACTTCTAACAATCTTTCAACTGGATGCAAATCTCCCATACTATTTATTTCTAGATATCTCAGCAAAAGAACATTTGCTTCCTTTTTACTAAAATCTTGTGTGCTATCAAAAATAAGACATGCCTTTTGTTGTTCTGCAATATTTGACACAATTTTCTCAACAATCATTCGTTTCATTGTTGTCAAAACAACTCGAATATTGCTGGAACTTAGAAAATTAACTGCCATTTTCTTTCTTAATCTATGTGATTCATCAACTTTTATCAGATATGCAGCAGCACTTGGATTCCGTTTAGATATTGTTCGAAAAAGATTTATAAACTTTCCATTATTAGATGTTTTTCCACGAAAAGCTATCATTTCTTCACTTAGGCACTTAACACAATCTAAAATGCATGCCATAACTTTTCTATTTCTTGAATTATATCTTTTCTATTTCTCTCGATGAAGACATCTACGGCCAATCCTCTTTTCCAATTTATTTTTGCAATATCAGCTTCGCGATGCTCTGCACTTACTTTATGACGAATGATATCCCGCAAACCATTATGCCAATTATTAAAACCTAATGTTGTCCATACAACTGAACCTTTTGGGCCGGAAAACATAATACAAGTAATATAGTAAATTTTGTCAGTTTGTTTGCTGTAAGACAACCATTGTCTCTTACATTTTGAGCCATCTGGCATTACACATTCAAACTATTCTTTTTGGAAACTGCGACCATCAGTAACAGGATAGGAATAGTCATTTGGTTGATATACACCAAGTGCCAGGCATGTTGTTATTTCATGCCTTTTCAATATTCGTCCACAAAACTGAGCTGCATCATTTTTGTCTAAAGCTAAGTTTAGATTTTCACAATAATTAAATTTATTTTCAATATTTTTTTCAACTAAACTATGAGCATTCAAGTTGGAATTGTTAGATTGAATCAAATCACAAACGTTGCTGTTGGATTCAGCTGCCTCTGTTGGAAAATATTCTTTAGCAACAACATCACCAATATCATCATCTGATTTTCTCATATCATTATTACTGCCTGCTGGCATTAAACTTGTAGATGGTGAATTAGTTTGGCTTGAGCTTTGTGGTTTCCATTTACCTTAGATGTCTTTTACTGAAACAATGTCTTTTTTATGTCTTCACCTCTGTAATAAAGATATTTGAATGGGTGTAAGAATTAAATGAAAGGAGACAACACAAATAAACGACGCTTTCAAATTATTTTTCAAAATCTGTTTTGTTTAGTTAGATTTAGAGAATAACCTTGCATGCATATATCCATGATCTTTTCTGCAATGCAAACTCCACTTATCTTGGCGAATGGTCTTGCGACAACCGGGCTGCAAACATTTGTACTTACAAAAAAATTTCTGATCTCGAGGCATTGTTTTAAAAAAATTATTAATCCGGAATAAAAATTTAAATAAAAATAAAGCGACGCAAAATTGAATTCAAATATTCAATATTAATTTAATCAAAACAGACGAGAATATTTGGCTCCGCCCATGAAACTAAAAGTGATTTCGATGTAAACTCGTTGAAAATTTAAAACAGATGAGAATAATTGGCTCCTCCCATAAAATTAACTAAAAGTGATTTTGACGTAAACTAGTTGAAAGTTATTAGTTTATAACAATGAGCGCGAAGTAACATAGTTATGTTGAAAATACGTATGTATGTTTCTAAATTGTTTAAAATGTTTGAATCTTTTTTTAATGTAACACAAAAAAATTCCCCCCCCCCCTAGCTTAGAATGGAGGCAATTGCCTCTTCTCCCCCTTCTGTAGACGCCCCTGTATATTAGTTAATATTGATTCGTTATATTTTAACTACGGTAAAGCATTTAGATATCAACCTATCGTCATGTAAACTTGTCATTCATTATTTTGATATCAGTAAAAAATAAAATGCATAGAACAATAACATTGTTTAATGACTTCACTAAGAAAGGGGGGGGGGTTTGTGACATGCTTATTTTTGGTGGGTTGTTCGATTTGTGACAGTTTGTGACACGGGAGAAGTGGGTCACAAAAAAAGTTAAAAAAGCGTGACATCCTTTATGGACAGCTCCTTAGATCTGTACGTCAGGCACATTACACGCTCGGCAAAACTAAAAATAGCTATAAGTCGGGTGTGTTACACATTGAGTTAACAAAGATGAATTATGTGTTGGGGGCATCACACCAGAAAAGGAGCTGTATATTGGGTCCATCACTCGTAGAGTAATAAGTAATACGTTCTTCCTCGGGGGAACTGGGTTTCTGGACGCTAAACGAAGATTGACTGATTGATTGACTCGTAGAGTAATAAAGAAAACTATGTGCCGTACGCATTACACGCTTATGATAAAAAAATTCTTTGTCGCGAACGTTATATGATGAGCAGTTTGTGATTTAACTGGCACAAAAATTGTAAAACCTGTTAAGCACAAAAGCTAAATCAATCTATTTTTTTATTGTCATTTTCAACATACTTATTCTATTAATCGTAGTATATATATGACGGTTTAAATTAATTATAAATTCTAGGGTTAGGGTTAGCCGGATGTTGATGTATAAATTACGCTTTTTACTCGGCAACATGTATACACCAAAAACTGTTAAAAATATTATTGTTTAACCTCTGAAATTTTAAAACTGAAATATTTACAAACACATTCATTTTAAAAAGTTATTATATTAAAATTGAAATAAATTTTTAAAATATTAGAAAAAGAATGAATGAATATTACAAAATAACAAAGCAAACAAAAGAAAGCAAATAAAATATTCAAGCAATTACACAGAATATGAGAGTATCAGTGTTTTTGTTTAATGTCACTTGTTTGTTGCGTTTATTGGTGGAAACAAAGTTATAATCTGCTGCTATCATGCTATACAAGCTGCACGCAAATCGTAATTTGTATATGCATTGATAATGACCAAGCTTACCGAACCTACCATTAGTCCGTCCGTAAATATAAACTATCCAGGCCAAATGTAACAAACAATAATTAACGCATGTCTGTTTACTTGTCTTCTCTTTCCAAAACGAGATGAATTGAATTTAGGAAGCTCAATATCATCATTATTGGAGGATCTCAGTTGATTTCAATTTGCAATTCCTGAAACTAATTGTAGCTGTTTCGTCAAATAAGTTAAAGCGTCGTCAGCAGGACAATCTCAGACTAGAACAGCTAGTTTGAAAACGATTCTTTCTGGCAACCTAGTAGGATGATATTGAATTGAATTTCGAATAACCATCAACAAGTCTCGCTGCAGTGTTCAGAATAGACTGCCAATCATAACCAAGTGATAAGTAGACACCAAACATATTCGCATTGCAGTTATCGATTAAACTACAAACGAGTACTTTTGTTGACTAAGCTGTCAAATAATGTCCGATTGATCTTATATTTTGGAGTTGGTAGAAACATACAGAGTTGGCAGAGTTGATTAATATGTTTTTCAAATGAAAGATGAGGATCCAGTGTAACACAATGATTTGTTACTGGATTTTTGTAGTCATTTAAACAACTGAGGCCATGCGACTGAGGCCATATATTGAGTTTTTTTGACGTTGAGTTTAAGCTTGCTTGACGGCGTCCAGCGACCGACACAGCAGGAAAAACTTGAAGTGATGAGTAGGGTAATTCTAATCCGTAAATTTGAGTATAATCAGCTTACAGATGACAACTAAGACCGGCTGCTTCGATGAGATGTGTATGCTATATAAGAGGGCCAAGTATTGATTTCTGTGGTACAACGCAGACCAATTCTGAAAAACCGCGCTTAAACTACTCCTATCAACTCTGACAACTTGAGACTTGTCTGTTAAGTAGGACTGGAACCACCTGAGAGAAAGTAATGAGTTTTTCTTCAGGTGAGCGAGGAGCTGTTGAGCGACGACTTTTTCACTTTTTGAAGACGAAGGTAAGGTTCGAAATGAGTCTCTAGTTGGCCACAATGTTGTTTGCTAGACCAGGCCTCTTCAAAGATTTGACCACGGTAATCTTTTGGGACTAGGATGTAAAAATTTCTAGTTTGTAAAAATTTATTGAATAAATGGCAGAAGTGTATCAAAAAATTCCACCTGGAGAAATGTTGGAATAGGGTCGAGGCAGCAGTGGTACATTTTGTTATCAATCAATCAATCAACCAACCAATTAATCAATCAATCCAATCAATCAATCAATCAATCTTCGTTTAGCGTCCAGAGACCCAGTTCTCCCGAGGTAGGACGTTGTTTCCTTTGCCATCAATTTTTTGCGCCAAATTAGACGATCAGTTGTATCTATTTCATTTAAATTTAGAGTTTCCATGTCTTACTCGATTGTTTGCGATCAGGACTTCTTTGGACGGCCTTTGAGACGTGTGCCAGGTACTTCAATATCTGCAAGAGAAGTTATGGCACTGTTTCCACTTCGTTTGACATGACCAAACCACCGCAGACGGTGTTGCCGGCATTCGTCCTTTAAATCATCTAAACCAACACGACGCAGGATTTCGATAGATTTGATGTGGTCCTTCAGACTAATTCGTTGCATGGCCATGTTTCTGTACCATATGACAACACCGGACGACACAGATTTATAAAGTCTTGATCGTAGTGGTAGTAGGATGTCACGCCGCATTAGATATATGACTAAAAATTTTTTTTGGCAATTTTTGGTTTCCCATGCCACTGTGAGTGGAGAAATTACATTTTAAAACTGGAAATATCATTTGAAAGTGTTGAATCTTAAAAAAGTTCACCCCCCTAAGCTGAAAACCGTTTTCTCCCATCTATCTATTGTTAGATACAGTACAGTTTAAGGTATCACAGCTTCAGTTTATTGCTGGTGTGATTTTGCTATATGTATGCATTCTTATTACATAATCTTTCATATTATATATTATATTTGTTATCATCACCTGACTTTTGATATTTTATAAACTTATTTTGATAACCTAAACTCATAAGATTTGTTTATTTGTAGATAATTAAATTTACACTCAAATTATAATTCGACAGGACTTTGGTCAAGATGTCTAAAAATAGTCTTCCTTTAGATTTGAATAAGAAACTATGGGAATCAAATTTGGTGAGATTTGATAAAGCCAAGAATTCAAAAAAGTATGCAAAGATTGTTGACAGTCTTGATCAAATGAACAAAATGCCAACAGAACAGCATATCCTGGACAGATTTAAGTGCTTGGCTGCAAATGTGAAAAGTAGACAGGAGAGAGTTGTGATAGAGATCAAAGAAGTAAAAATCTTATGGAAAAAACTGAATCTTCCAATTCAAAAAGGCAAATCTACAGTGGAAAGAAAAATTGAGAATGTACTAAACAAGTATGAAAAAAACAGCAGAAAACCAGGAACCAGAAACTACCAACTTGTTCAACGTAACTGATGAAAATGGAGAATAGTTGTGTAGAAAGAAAAAGCCCTCTATAATCTTCAGAAGTCAAGAAATGGTAGAGCTGGCTACTGCACCACAATTGAAGATACACAAGGAGTTCATCCTAGAAAACTAAAGTTGATTAAGCAAAAAGTCAGTCAAGATACTAAGGATGATTTAAACAGTGAAGATGAAGAACAGCAGAGTCAGTCAAGATACTAAGGATGATTTAAGCTGTAAAGATGAAGAACATTTTAACACTGAAGAAGAAAAACAAGATTCTGACAGTGGTTCTCAAGATTCAGATGCTCTGAAGGAAGAAGAAATTGTTTGGAGAGATGATATGGCTTTCCTTCATCACTTGATCACTTGTTACAGACAGTTTAAGAAAACGGGATGCTTCCTAAAGTAAATTTCAGATTTTTGCCAAATATAAGCAATGCAAGATAGAATAGCCGAGCAATCTATGCTTTGCTAGCTTATATTTTACTTCTAGAATTTTGACAGTCAGCCGAAGGTCAGTCATCATGTGACTTTATTACTGGCACGTGGAGTGACATCTGGTTTTCTGGTCAGGTTTATAATCAGGAATAACTACAATAATTTGGCAGCCGTTTGCAAAGATCAAAGGCAATAAAGACTTTAAGTACTTTTTGGTCGGTTGAGCCGACTCCAATCCCAACTCAAAGGTCAAACATTTGTGCTGGACGTGCAATTAAAGTTCTACAGGATTTACTTCTGTTGTGCAAGAGCATTGAAAAAATTAACATTAATTTTCTTTTGACAAATGAACACTAAAACCTGTATGTTTGTATTTCTGATTAAAAAAACCATTTTGTACAATGTATATATAATATAAATTTAATTAAGGGGGTGACATTTTTTTAAAGTTGACACTTGCCATTGGATTTTTCATGATCTTTGCATTAAAACTCCACAAAAAATAACGTGGGGATAGGGTCTTTAAAAATTGTCATATCCCTACGCCGCATCAATATAGAGGCAAAGAGATGTTATTTATTCCAGGCTGCACGTATGCGTGCTCGAACGGCAGCTTCAGCTGTTCCAGTACAATCCAGAACATCCCCTAGATATTGAAACGATGTGAAACATGTGTTATATATATATATATATATATATATATATATATATATATATAAATTGGATATACAATTGTTAAGAAATATCACTGCGTTTTCAGCTTTGAAGCTGAATAAAAAGTAATTTGAACTCATTAACTCTTTCTGCAGATTGAGGATGGTGCATCAATTTATGGTTGCTTGTTTTAATTGCGATAATTATTTATCGTTATTTAAAATAATTCTTTCTTAACTGTGGAACTTTTTTTGTCGTTTGTTTTAATTTTAGAATTTGTTGATATTTAAATTACGATACACTCTGTTAAAATTGTGAAAACTCTACTGGGAGAATACCTAACATTATAACGGCCACTATATTTATATTCAATAAATAAAAATAATATTTATGTGTTGTGATACATAACATATACAAAAATTAATTCAAAATAAAGTTGATGATGTCTCTAAGAAAAAGGAAAAAAGCAAAAAGGATAAAAAGGACAAAAAGGATAAAGGCTACATGATATTTGAGGAGGATCATTCAGCTGATGAATTGTTTGCTGAAAATATTTCTAAAAAAGAAAAATCCAAAAAAACAAAATCTTTTAAATTTACGAAAAAGGTTATAATATTTTTGTCTGATCAATTTATTTCAAATGCTAAAACCGATGAACTGTTTGTTTATTTTCATATTTTACATTGTGATTATGTTACTATTGTTATAATTAAAAATTGCTTATTGCTTTTTTATATAACTATCTTCGTCAGGTTATCGAAATTTTCACTATCTTGAAGTTTGATACTTTGCACAACTTACTTACCTCTGGTGGTGTTACATAAATTTCATTTTCTACAATATTTATTGATTCTAAATTAATCAATCAATCTTCGTTTAGCGTCCAGAGACCCAGTTTCCCGAGGTAGGACGTTGTTTTCTTTGCCACCAACTTTTTGCGCCAAATTAGTGGATCAGTTGTATCCATTTCATTTAAATTTAGAGCTTTCATGTCTTGCTCGATTGTTTGCGACCAGGACTTTTTTGGACGGCCTTTGAGACGTGTGTCAGGTACTTCAACATCTGCAAGAGAAGTTATGGCACTGTTTCCACTTCGTTTGACATGACCAAACCACCGCAGACGGTGTTGCCGGCATTCGACCTTTATATCATCTAAACCAGCACGACGCAGGATTTCGGTTGATTTGATGTGGTCCATAAGACTAATTCGTTGCATCCATCGGAGCATTTTCATGTCCGTTCGTTGAAGTTGTTGTTCCAGTTTGGTTGTCATTGGCCATGTTTCTGCACCATATAACAACACCGGACGTATCACAGATTTATAAAGTCTTGATCGTAGTGGTAGTGGGTTGTCACACCGCATCAATATAGAGGCAAGGAGATGCCATTTATTCCAGACTGCACGTATGCGTGCTCAAACGGCAGCTTCAGCTGTTCTAGTACAATCAAGAACATCCTCTAGATATTGAAACGATGTGACTTTCTCTACCTTAATGGCTTCAAAAACATTGCTATTTTGAATTTGTTGTTGTGGATTGATGCAAGCAGGACAAACAAAATTGGACACTTTAGATAAAGTACCAATTATTTTTGAACAACGTTTGTGACACCACTGGTTACACTGCTGACACTTGATTGAATTGTTACCTACACCAGCTTTACAAACTGAACAGGGCCATCGTCCAGTAGCTGTGGATTGGATGGGTTCACCAGTGTTCATTGCTTTGGTTTTGCTGATGTTGACTTTTAATCCATGATCGGCGAATCTGGTGTTCCAATCTTCAAACATCTGTGCTGCATTCTGCTCAGACGTGGCTGTTAAAACGATATCATCAGCATATATTAGATTCCAAATATCACTAGTTCATATTGGTTTTGTGATTTCTTCCATCACAGTTATAAATAACAGTGGACTAAGAATCGAGCCTCGTTGAACTCCAACGCCGATGTCAAATGCATCTGTGTTTCCAACCGTTGTGCTGACGAGAGTCTTTGTATTCGTATACATTCCGATCACAAGTCGAAAAAGATATTCTGGAATGAGTTGTCGACGTAGACTCCACCTGATTGCTTCACGGGGAACTCGATCAAATGCTTTTTCAAGGTCTACAAAAATGTGTGATGTTTTTGTTGTTGTTGTTGTTGCCCCTTCTCGACCACCTATCCATTGATCAGGCGAAGCCTGAGCCAATCAGCAACCGCAGTTGGGTTTTGCCACAGGTCTATTGTCTTGAAATTCGTAGGATTGGCAGGACAGGAGAAGAGATGAGCCACGTCGTCTACGTGCGTGTGACAGTGAGGACACATATTACCTGTACCGCCATCAATAATTTCTCTGAAACTGCCTAAGATGTTACTGTGGCCAGATCGGAGTTGGGCCAGAGTTCTTATTGCCCGAGGCAGAGATTCCTCTGAGCTGTCTATTTGTGGTTGTGGAGGGGGCCATCCGTTAAGCAGGATCGGCGCGTGGTACGCCTCTGCAGCGGCCTTGGCAGCCATGCCATGTAAATTCCGAATAGCCATATTGATACTTGCACTATTCGAATTAGTGTGTAAGATGGATCTGACTGTGGCTCCCCATTTTGACATCAGAGTGTTTTTCATCACACGAGGGGGAAGTTCGGCTGACAAAAATGTATGGCATGGATGTTGAGGGTCGAAACATGATGAATTGTTTTGACAGTAGATCTGTATGCTGTTTTATTGACAGCAACTGGCACTCGGACAGTAGATGCTTCTCGGATGCGATTTTGTGACAGCCAGTGACGATTCTCAGTGCAGCATTCTGAGCGCGTTGTGGACGGCATAGATTGGATTCCGAAGAGAGAGACTACCAGACCGGGCAGGCATATTTCTTTGTTGATCTGCCTATGGCCTTGTAGACCTGTAAGAGGGTCTCTTTATCTTGGCCATAGGTGGTGCCGCTGATAGCTTTTAAAACATTATTCCGTTTTGCGGCCTTGGATGCTGACAATTTATGGTGTTGAGTGAAGGTCAGCATCGGGTCGAAAGTGAGGCCAAGAATTTTCGGGTTATGTTCTAGCGGTAGAACCTGCCCGTTGACGTCTTGACGTCTTGCATGGTTGTTCTTCTCACAGAAAATTTTATGGTCATCAACAGACTTTGATTTTTGCCATTGCTTGTATGCAGCTTTCTTTTCATCTATTGCATTTTGTACACTCATTCCACCACGAAGTGTCCCGTTCATGCTGACGTTTTGTACCAGTTTTCCCACAAACTGTAGTTGCAGCGTTTATCAAAATGGTTTTGTATGTACTCCAATCTGTACTGGCTTGCAATTGGTGGTCTAACTGTGTTGCGACAATCTGTTGAAATTTTTCTCGATGAATATTGCTTTTCAGCTTCCACGTTTTGATTCTCCGAGGCATTTGTTTAGACTTATGTTTTGACAGTTCAACAACCAGGTCTGCCACAAGGAGTCTATGTTGGGCGACACATGATTCGCCAGGTATAACATTGACATTTTTGAATAGCCTTCGGTGTTGTTGCTTCACAGCGAAAAATCAATTTGCGTGGCTGATGGTCCACTTTTGTATGTTATGAGATGTTCCAACCTCTTTCTATAATATGTGTTCAATAAACAAAACCCGTGACTTTCAGCAAACTCAAGGTTGCGGTTGCCATCTTCATTTCGTTCTCCATAGCCAAAACCGCCATGTACGTTGTCAAAACCATCTGTTTTCTCTCCAACTTGGCCATTGAGATCGCCTCCAATCAGGATTGTTTCAGATTTTGGTATTGTTGAGATGGTGTCAGAGAACGCAGCCCAGAAGTCATTTTTCATCTCTTCTGATTCGCCTATCTGTGGTGCGTATGCAGAAAAAATAATCATTGTTTGCTTTTCTAGGCGAAGCTTGATCCACATGAGACGTGAATTAATCCTTTTAATATCCAGTACTTTTTGGGCTAGCGGTTCTCTGACTAAAATTCCAACACCATTTTTGGCCGTCTTTAGACACTTCCAGAATAGTTTTCATTTTTCTTTGTCTGAGTTGACATGACAGACACCATCGATTTCCATCGGGTTTCCTGAAGGCTGCAGATGTCAATCCTTCTACGCTCGAGCATTTCTGCGATTTCCATGCTGCGGCCAGTCAGTGATCCAACATTGAGCGTTCCAAGTCTAAGTACCATAGAGGGGCCATTCTTATTTTTTCGGCAACATCTCTCCGCTATTGCATACTTCCCAGGGATTCTTGGCACCCCTTGACCACTTAAGGCCTGCTGGGGACTAGGGTCGTTGTTTTTTTTTGTGATGGCATAGGAATAATTTGGGGAAAAGTTTTTACATCCGGA